TTTCTTAAATTATGTTTATCATTTTTTTTTAATATTAAGATGATTGAAAATTTAGTTTTGTAATTTAAAAAAAATTAATTACTTCAGTGTTTCTCTATATGTTTTTTTATTTTTTTATAATTTTCTCCAAAAAAATTTTATTTTATTTTTTAAGGTTATAATATGTGAGGGAAGCACTGTAGTTTTTCTTGTAAATTACTTTGAATTGTTACAGTGTTTTTTATATATAATTTTTTTTATTTTTTCTAAAATTATTTTTTTAATAATTATAATTACAAGTAAGTCTAAATCATGTAGGGATTACATTATAACTTTACTCGTTTTTTTCTATTTTTTTGTGTGTTTTTTAATATATTTTTTAAAATTATTTTTATCAATGTTATTACCTAATTAAAATTTAACTTTGTACAAATCATTTTGTTCAATTTTTAATTTAATTACTAACATAACTCTTTTTTTATCATAAAATATTAACTGTATTATTAATTTTTATTAGTTACCTAGCGTTTATAATTATAATATCATTACTTACATTAACATGCAGCAGCGCACGGGATGGCAGATGCCATCCTGTAATCATGACAGGACGTAGTAAATGGTGTGTGAGGAAACCTGCTAGCTCCCAACGTATGCGAAAAATACTGCCTGCCCATCTGAGGAGCGGTTTGTGATCAGATCAAAGGACCACTGCCACTTGTTTTCATGGTCCTTATTTAATCTACCTACCTCCGTACCTCCCTCTTGGCTCACCCATAAAGTCTCGTGCATATTGACTCGCTTACCAGCTGCTCGCCTCATTCTTTTTTTTAAAACATTTGCTTTCGAATTTAGATCAAGATATATATATATATATATATATAGTTGTGTTTGTCTTTACTAACCAATCACTTCTACGAACTATCAATTTGTTATTAGGGTAATGTGATAAAGGAGCGTACCACCTTTGGATTTTTGGGTCATCACCAATGTATCTTTGCGATCTCTATAATTTATGTGCTTAAATAAACTAAATCTAATAACGTACATTGGAAGAAGAAGATAATTCATCGGAAAGATTTCTAAGCATGCGACTACAGAATATTTCACTATCTGATTAAAGATGCGTATTACTGAAAGAACAATGAACTGTGTCTGTCCGCCTGCCTTCGCCTCCAAGGTAGCTTCACTTGTATGGTCCATCTTGCATTGAATTGTCAACTGCCTTGAGTTGATGAAACTTGTCCTCGAACGGTTGTACTATCATAATATTAGTTGCAGACCCACCATTATATAATATTAGTTGGCATTGCACGACTCCCTTGCACCTTACTTCGGGGCGAGGGTAAGATTTTCCATCAAAAAAGATACTTCCATCTTCATCTCCATTTTTCTACAACTACGTGTGAGTGATGAGCACCCCAAAAGCTATGATTACATGGTAAAAATATCCATATCCATGATCTTTACATTTTAGCTAAAATAACTATTTTTACTAACTGACTAAAAAAATATTGTTACATTCATGCTCTCTAAAATATATAGTCATGAATATTTTATTATCATCTTTTGTTATTCAAATTATATCTTCACTTCGCTTGGTGCTCGTCTCCGGCCTAGGAGATGTGCATCTACAATAGGCATTCATTGAGCCAAAGCACTTCAAAACCAAAGAGATGGGTAACTATTTTTTCATCAACATAACCCGGATGAAGAAAACAAGAAAAACCCAGATCAGATCATTGGAAAAAAAACAATCTTTAACACTAAAACCAACGCAAAACACAATCTGATCGACAGAACAGAAAGAGGGATGATTAGATAACCTGTTGGGGATGAGAAGACGACTCTGAATTCCATGGAAAATGAAGGGTCTTTCGAGGTGGGGGTCTAATGTATTCACAGGTAGCAGTTGCAGAGATTAATTTTATATTTACATCCAAGCTCCCCATCCAGCAAACATTTGACATAAACGCTCAGGATCAATAGCATCTTGTATAAGTTGTTGAACCTATTAACGGGAAAAGGAAAAAGGTTGTAACAAACTAATACTGCACAAACAGAGTGAAAATGAGTGTTAAATTGGGCCCCAATGGTCAGGGTTAAACCTAAAAAACTTTCTAGGATCTGCATGTGTCCTAAAATAGCAAAAATAAATGGGAGCAAGATACGATTTGTTAGCTGCACTAAACTCTGCGTTCTGAAACCATTCAATACATACGTACTGACAGGCATTCCAATTGCATAATAATCTGCCAACCTTGAATCTGATCCACAATTTAAACGTCTGCTTTGGAAGATCACCTGATTCCTAATCCCATCAAATAACTATGTGCCATACTAATAAAGCAATGAATAAAAATGAAATCACAACACAAGGTCATTCCTGATCCCATCGCCACTACGAAACATTATAAAGCAACTACTTAATTAGAAGGTACAACACAAGAATTAGATGGTTAACACACACAGATCTCCATAACAAGAATTAGATGGCTAACACACACAGATCTCCATAACTTGTTTGCTGATACCAATTTTTATTTGAAATATACCAGATACCAAATCCAAACTCATCCCTTGGGAGGAAAAAGGAAACTTCATGCCTGGCATTTCTTTGTATGTGAAGAATGTGAACATTCAAGTGGAAGTACTAGTGATGCTGGAAGATTACCTGTCCATGTACACTTCTTAATTCACCTTCTTCATATCCATCAAGTTTTTGCCTTACACGCATCAGTGCACGAGCAGCATCCTTGTTACCTTCATGTTGATCTTGTGAGTCTTCCAAGCTAGTCTCCAAATCATCATCTGCTTCCTACCAATAACAGAAGGGAAAGCAGGGAAAAAAATAATAAATAGATAAACATGAGCAAGAACATGGACAACAAGGAGACACTGCATATATTTTCACTATGCAGGGAAAGCAGGGAAAACAAATAATAAATAGATAAACATGAGCAAGAATATGGACAACATCGAGACACTACATACATTTTCACTATGCCCAATTTGAAACAAACAAGGAAAGACTCAGAAGCTACATGAATGAATGACTATCAAGAGACATTCAAACCCCCAATGCACGCTAATATGAAGCTAACACTGAATATTAAAAGACAAGTTCAAATGCCATAACTTAGTAATACATATTGACACAAGCATATACTGATATCATAATGTACGGATCAATTGCCAAAGACGACTAGAATGTTCCAGGTCAAAGAGCAGTTGTCTATTCACCAGGTCAAAGCAGTAACTATATGCCTTCCATACTATGATGGTGTGTAAATCACATGCTTATATTGTAGAGGTAGTGCTTGAACTAAGTATGCTGAACTCATTTTGACAAATCATAAGGTTAACTCATTGATGAAAACATTTCTTTCTCTTCTTTTCATTTTAACCTAAAACAAATATGACAACACTAACAAAGACCACCCTTGAGATTTGGCAAAATATGCAAGCACTGTGAATCTTTCCAGGAACCTCCTACATATTGAATAT